TACATAATTTCTATATACAAAATAATAATATATATTTTTTTTGGTAAATACATTTGTACATTAGATTTTCAAATTTGAATATGAAAATTCATTTTAAGACATGCAGTATGGCAGATTTTGTAAATGTTCATGTCGGTTCATTTGTCTCACTGCATAGAACAATGACATAGACATAGACGTAGACATAGACATCGAATTCATCCAGTCACTCCTCAGTCTATGACTGAATTCCACTTACAATTAACAAGAGAATATGCGCCACTTGTCTATGATACAAAATTAATCAATATACTCTGGCATTGTTGGTGCAACTTTAGAAGAAGGAACCACTTTACTTTTCATTTTGCCTGGAATCAAAAAGTATATAACTATAAAATATAATAAACTTTATTTCAAATAAATAATAATTACATATAGGCACTGTCTTATTATACAATTAATTTAGTTTACTTAGGGCAGGTTCAACTTTTTTGTTGGATGGCACATTTTCTAGTTCACCAAGGTTTGGAAACGAATGTCACCAATTATATGTCATAATGGGCATAACATTTTATACTGTACGTTTTGTATGTAATTTGTAAACAAATAATATTAAATTAGAAAATAACTATTTTACTAATTAGATTATTTTAAGTTACTTTTTTTTAAAATATATTTATAAAAATATATTTTCCAGGGATTTCCTATAGGTTTTGCATTGATGTCGAGGAAAACAGAAAGGGCATACACTGCGCTTTTCAATAAGATTTTAAGCATAGTACCAAAGTGGCAACCCTAAACCATAATAGTTGATTTTGAAAGGGCAGCTATTGCTGCTATAAAAACAATGTTTCCAAATACCACTATTAGAGGCTGTTGGTTTCATTCCCCCCAAGCGGTATGGAGAAAAGTTGCAAACATAGGTAATATTACTCTAAAATCTGAATTTGTAATTAAAAATAAATTAAATGTATAGTCAATTAATGACACTGGTTAATATTTAGGATTGATTGAAATATGTAGTAACCATCGAGGAGCCTATGACACTGTACATATGTAGATGGCATTGTCTTTGCTGCCAACAAATTGTATAGCTGAAGGTTTTGAAATTGTATGGTCACACTATATTGAGAATGTGCAATCATTGATTAGCAATAATAATGAGGGGGATGAGGTGGCCGAGTGGTCTAGTCGCGCGCGATAAGTTGGCTTTCGTGGCGCGTCGCAGTCACGTCGCATCGCGTCGGTGGGAGGTCTCCGATATATTAACCCGTGTTTTACTAAACAAACGATTATCGCACGATATTTATTTATAATCGCGTTGCGTTGATACGCCCTAGTGGGACAAGTGGCATTTAGTGTGACATTTTAATCAGTCAGGAAAATCAGAAAAAATGGAAAGATATAATTAAAAGTTAGCAGATTAAAAGCATATTACATTGCGTTTAATATTTGTATAATAGGTATAAAATAACCGCTCTGCTGTACCATAAGTATCGAGGGTACCTTGTCATTGAGTAAGTCATAGTAATGTGTGTTAAATTTGAATTCAATGATAAATCATTACATACGATTCTCAGAGAAGAGGGTCTGTTTGCCTATATTACTAAAATACTAAGTATATTTTATGATATATATGTCGCCGCCACTAGGTATCGCCTATAGAAATTTAATTCACATTTAATTTAGTGTGACATTTTAATCAGTCAGGAAAATCAGAAAAAATGGAAAGATATAATTAAAAGTTAGCAGATTAAAAGCATATTACATTGCGTTTAATATTTGTATAATAGGTATAAAAAACCCGCTCTGCTGTACCGTAAGTATCGAGTGTACCTCGTCATTGAGTAAGTCATAGTAATGTGTGTTAAATTTGAATTAAATGATAAATCATTACATACGATTCTCAGAGAAGAGGGTCTGTTTGCCTATATTACTAAAATACTAAGTATATTTTATGATATATATGTCGCCACTAGGTATCGCCTATAGAAATTTAATTCACATTTAATTTAGTGTGACATTTTAATCAGTCAGGAAAATCAGAAAAAATGGAAAGATATAATTAAAAGTTAGCAGATTAAAAGCATATTACATTGCGTTTAATATTTGTATAATAGGTATAAAAAACCCGCTCTGCTGTACCGTAAGTATCGAGTGTACCTCGTCATTGAGTAAGTCATAGTAATGTGTGTTAAATTTGAATTAAATGATAAATCATGAAATTAGTGAATTTACCTAGGTAATTAGTGTTTGAAAATGTCATGAAATTTAAAAAAATGAAATATTTCGTGAAATATATCATGAAATATTTCAAAATATGTGAAATATTTCAGTATTTTAATATATTTTGTTTTATTTTTAAATAAGTTTTATATTTACATATAATTGTCATAAATTACCTTCATCACTATATGGTACCTGTATGTATACCTAACCTTTGGTATTATACATTTAAATTGGTAATCAAATTTTTTAAATATTTTAATGTTTAAATGATACAAGTAGATATACAATATTATACATGTATATTGTATACCGGTGATACACGATTGAGCATGGTCGTTATCAGCCGACCTTTTAGACGACCCGATTGAGCACGATAAAAAAAAAAATATTGTGTACAACGTTGTCAGATTTTCACTAGTACCTACGTATGTTGTATTGTTGTGTAGATATTACCAATAGGTAATTTCTAACATATTAGTCGAAAACGATTTTGCTATCGATCGATGGGTAGGTATACCCACGGAAGTTGAAAATAACTGGGATAGATAGGAAACCAGAATTATATCTAAATAAGACTTGGTCACAGTCAGTCTATGGTTCTGTTGCCTCGTGCTCGATGTGCGGTAGTGTGCAAATTTTACGATGGAAAATAATGAAATAAAAATTATTTTATCCGAGAGAGGTAAAAAGTTGGCAAATGTTGGAGCAATTATTTTAAAACTTTATTATATTATAAAGGCTTATCAGGAGTACTCTGAATTAAAAAATGTTGATAACCTACTTAAATACTTATTTAAAATTGTAAATAATTATTTAGGGAAACAAATTTAAATTTTTATTTTTTAATTCATTTGGATTGGTATTTTTCAACATTTTTTTAAATTATATATTTTTATATTCAGTATTTAGCGGAATAAATTGTAATTGTAATATAATATAATAAACTAACTGACGTACATAATTATGTAATAATATGTGATTATAATCCAATAAAAGATTTTTATTTATAAACATTTACATTCAAATGTGTCTTATTTTTTAAAAATAATATTCTACGATACACAATGGCAACGTCGCACCTATTTTCGTGCTCAATCGTGTTTTTTTGGGTTCCTATCGTTTGATTCCAATCATGCTCAATCGGGTTATGAAAAATGTCAATCGTGCTCAGTCGGGTTCCAGCCTTGTATACTTACTGAATTCTGACATAAGAATTTGGAACACTGAACATTGTGTTGAAAAAATAAATAAATTGTGTTTTTATTTGTGTTAAAAAAAATTTCAATGTTTCACGATTCCAACTAAAACTTTGATGAAAAATCTTTTGCCTAATGGAAAAAGTAAATGTTGGAAGCCTTCATTATTAGAATCTTCTTCTGCATTCACCTATTTTTGTACTGTAAGTTTCTGATTTAAAATAAGTTTATGAATACATTTATATTTATATTGATGTTTAATTTAAATAGAATCTGATTGGTCTCCAAGAAGATATTGATAAGAGACGTTCAAGATATGGTCAATATGGAGCTACGATTCAGCCTTTATTATCTTAGTTGGGAAACAAGTTTCCATTGATTCTTGTTACATTAGGGTAAATAAAAAGTTATGGTGTTTTGACGGCTCTTGAAATTTGTTTTAAGTCATATTTTGTATTTAATTGTGCATACCCTAACGAATGTTACGATTCTTGGCTTGTAATTCAACAACAGTTATTTAAATTGCTTACAAAATATGATAATACAACTTCTATTACAACTTCTGTTACAGCTAACTTATATTCATAATCATTTCATTTTTATTTTCATTTTTTTTTTTTTTTTAAGAATGGGGATTTCTTAATTTATTATAATATAGTTTATCTCAATTTCACGAGACTTAAACAGTTATATAACAATTATTTGTATAATATGTATATTATTATATAAGTACTATTATTTTATATTTACATTTTTTTTTTTTAAGAATGGGGAATTCTTAATTTATTTTATTATTTATCTCAATTTCACGAGACTTAAACAGATATAACAATTAGTATAATATGACTTATATTATTTTATAAGTACCATTATTTTATTTATTTTAGTATATTTAAGTAAACTTCATCATGTACTTATGTTCCATCTGTTCATTAAAATTGCTTACAATTAATCAACTTATTTTTCATTTCAAAATATATCATCATTATGGTAGCCAATCTGTATATACATGTAAGCAAGACAGTTGTGTGACGGATGTTCGAGGGTCTAATAAATTTAGAAAACATTTAACGAAATTTCATACTTCTTCAGTAAGTATCACCTATGGTGTTGAAGTAAATAATTTAGGTACTTCAGTATTAGAATCATCTGATACAATTGATTATCATTTATCTCACCATGCAGAGCATAATCAAACAAACAGTTCTGCAATTATCTTAAATAATTCAAATACATCTTATAAAAACATTATTACTAAAAGCGTATTACAATTTATCACCAATTTATATAAAAAACCTACCGTAACTGAGACTTTAATGCAGGAAATAGTAGAAGGAGTATCAGATGTATTCTCTAGTGGTATAGTATCCTTTTTAAAAAATATGATAATGCAACATTTAGAAGGGTGCAGTATTTCTGAAAAAAATGAAATAGATTATTTATTTGATACTTTGGCTAATCCTTTTTTCAATTTCAAAACTGAATATCAGAGATTTAAATATTTTGAGGCTAATAATTTGTTTTTTAAACCCAAGACAATAGTGATAGGTCACACAATTGAAAAAAAAAAATATTTCAGGCGCAGATCGGCAAATAATGGTACCAGATCAAGGACATTTGCTATCAATTAAACAAAATCTTAAATTATCGTTTGAATTTCCTGGGGCTTACGAAACAGCCTTTCAGTATACTGAAGCTTTTACTAATCAAAATCAAATACTTTCATCATTTCTAAATGGTACTACTTGGAAGTCAATCAAACATAAATTTAGTAATAAAATTGTTTTTCCTATATTCATGTATTACGATGATGTTGAAATAGGAAACCCGTTGGGATCGCACTCTGGTGTTCATAAGATGGGCTGTGTGTACTATACGATTCCTGATTTCCCTCCAGAATATTTATCAACATTAGATAATATACCTATTTCCTGCATTCTTATTTCACTCTTCAGATCTAGGATATTCAAAATTCAATAATAAAACTGTTTTCGCTTTTCTGATTAATGATTTAATTGACTTACAAGAAAATGGAATAACTATTACAGTTAATTCAAATATTATTCAGGTGTATTTTATTCTTGGACTAGTCTTGGGTGACAATTTGGGCCTTAATTCTATATTAGGCTTTGTGACAAGTTGTTCAGCCAATTATTGTTGTAGAATTTGTCGGTCCCATAAAACTATAGCCTACAAAAGATGTTTTTAGAATGTCCAGAATCCCTTAGAAATGAAGATAACTATAAATTAGATGTCCTTCAGGCTAATCCATCTGAAACAGGTGTAAATGAACTTTGTGAATTTAATACTATTCCTAATTATCATGTAATAACTAATAGTGTATGCGATTTTATGCACGATGTAACAGAGGGAGTCGCCCCTTTTAATGCCTGTTGCAATCACACATTTAATAAATTACAAGTATTTAACATTAGACAATTTAAATAATCGCATATTATTATTTGAATATGCAGTTACAGAAAAAAAAAATTCACCTCCACCAATTAACCAAAATCATTTAAATAAAATATACATAACTATGTCATCTTCTGAAATGCTCTGTCTTGTTAGGTATTTTGGATTAATTTTTGGGGAACTAGTTCCTATTGAAACCACTGTTTGGAAATTGTATATAGCTTTACGAAAAATTTTTGAAATATGCTGTGCAAGAACAATTCAATCTGAATGTTCTCATTTATTGAATCAAATAGTGGCTGAACATAATATACTTTATTTATTATTATCTGGAAGTAATCATAAACCTAAGTTTCATATATTAACCCAAAAATTAACTACAAATACTGTTGTTGTTGTATCTACCACTTAATAGAGTTTAGTAATAATGAACTACATACTTGTTTTAAAAACTGTTGTTGTTGTATCTACCCCTTAATAGAGCTTGAGCGTACAAATCAAGCATTTACAATAAGTTCAATGTCTTAACCATAAATTGTAGTTAAATCAACTGCAATTTAGCTCTGAGCGAAAAACAGCGTGCAAATGTGTACTACATTAACACCTTAGTGTGTTAAAACAACAACACTTTTCTATGTGTGCATACATTAATCGACAGACAAATTAACGAGTATAGGTTACCGAAAACAGCAATCAAATATTTCTATTTGTTGTTGTGCTACAGTAATCAGTGTAGTTCTGTAATTTAAAAATACAAAAATATAATATTTTGTATTTACCTCTTTAACATGTACTATTATGTCATCAATGAATATTAGATATTAAAGTGGACTCTGGAGTATAAGTTTTCAACTTTTATTAAACGTGTATTCTAAAGTTATAAGATAACTAAAAAACATGGTGTTGTCCGAATTCACCACACATGTCTGAAGTCACCCCTTTTTACGGTAGGTAGTAATTAGTACAAGAATCTTTGGTTCAGACATTTCTAAGGCCCCCGCCCCCTGCGGACAAAGTCTGCGAACGCCTATGCCTATAACATTATTAGCATTTTAATATAGAATATAATATATTATGTAAGTATGTAACAAAAGAAACTGGGCTATATTATTTTTTCAATACATTTCAACGAATCTTGATTATTAATTTCAATTAAAATAAGCAATTTAGTTTAATTATTCTTTCTGGATCAAAAATTTAAAATCTCACTTTTTGACGAAAATGAGTAATATATGGCCATTGGCCAATCTTATAAAACTTTATACGCGTTTTCTAGTGGTAAAATACTAAACTAAATAATCATTAGTTCGAGATTTGAGAAGACCAATGTCATGAAAATTACAAAATCTATGGGGCATATGTGAACATTGGCCCTTTTACAATTTAAATAAAATTATGATTTTATAGGGCCAATATGAATAGAAAAACTTTAATTTGTAACTAAAAAATTCACATCATATTCTAAAATGTAAGGTAAACTATATTTACATCCATCACAAAAACAAAAACATGAACAATAAAAAAAAAGCTATGAATTTTCAAAAAAAAAAAAAGCTTTTATTCATGATTACTACAAAGTGATGAAAAGTGATATTGGCCCTTTTTGACCCAAGCCCCAGCTTTATACTACGTATTCACGTGTAGGTATAGGTACCTAAAAGTGATAACAGCTGTCATATTTATTTTGAAAAATTATAGTATTATTCCATAATATTATTTTAGAACACTATAAAAACGAATACATTTATACATTCTTATGAACGGTATTTTAAAAGCACTATGGCACCTATACTAAGCATTAATATGTATTGTACCATATGTACCATTGTAGGTACCATAATATGTATTGCAACAATATTTATAGACACGTCTGTACGGTGACAACACGGTAATTTTGTCCACCAAACTATATTATCATAATTAATATATTATTTTCCTAGGAAAGTCAATTGGTAGCTGACCCTAGTCCTGAGTCCAGATCACACGTGTGTACAACGTCAGAGAATGAAGGAGCTGGCTATTCTAGGGAGCGTGAAACACCTACTTATGTGCCTAAAAAAGTTAAGCGCCCATCAACTGTATCTCGTCGGCAGGTGCCTCTATATCAAGAAGAAACAACATCTGGATATGATAATAATATAGTGTGTACAAGATCAGACAGTCCAGAAGCCGCCTGTTCTAGGGAGCGTGAACCATCTACTAGTGAATCCCTATGTGAATGGGTAAGTTATTATCAAAAAACTTGTACAATGGTAGGTGTTCAATAATGTATTATATGCTTAGCGAATAAACCAACTAACCAAAGAAATGGCGGTGAACCCAACGAAAAGAGGTGTGCCGTACTATGCAGGAATAATTGAATTGGTGAATGGTCATGATATTTATGTAAAATTTCCAGGAGAACACGGCGATAGACCATACTTATACGAGAGAAGCGATTTACGACCATTTACCACACAATTCCCGAATGGCAAGTTTAAACCATTAAAAGCTATACCCGCACATAAAAATTCACAATACTTGCGTCGAAAAATACGGAACTATGAACAAAATGTAATCAACTATTTAAATTTGATGTGATTTTAAATAAATTAAAAATCGAATAATTGTGCGATCGACGGTAAAAAACAAGATTCATCAGTACAATATTTATTTCAATAATTACTTAAGTTCTCCAAAGATTTCATACATTTCAAACTTATCATCGTATAGAGTTCGATGCTGTGATAATTTTGAAATTTTTTCTGCTCATTGCAAACCATTATTTAAGGTGGTTTAGGGCTGGGAAGTGATCTGCGAGTTTTGTGTATAACACTTTAAAATCTCGTTGTCCAGTAGCGGACGGCTGGAGTGTGCCCGATCGCCGTGCAATCACCCGCATGCCGTGCAAATATATTATGAATTAGTGAATAGTATCGAGTGTACCTTGTCATTGAGTAAGTCATAGTAATGCGTGTTAAATTTGAATTAAATGATAAATCATGAAATTAGTGAATTTTCCTAGGTAATTAGTGTTTGAAAATGTCATGAAATTTAAAAAAATGAAATATTTCGTGAAATATATCATGAAATATTTCAAAATATGTGAAATATTTCAGTATTTTAATATATTTTGTTTTATTTTTAAATAAGTTTTATATTTACATATAATTGTCATAAATTACCTTCATCACTATATGGTACCTGTATGTATACCTAACCTTTGGTATTATACATTTAAATTGGTATTCAAAATTTTTAAATATTTTAATGTTTAAATGATACAAGTAGGTATACAATATTATACATGTATATTGTATACTTACTGAATTCTGACATAAGAATTTGGAACACTGAACACTGTGTTAAAAAAATAAATAAATTGTGTTTTTATTTGTGTTAAAAAAAATTTCAATGTTTCACGTTTTTGTGAAATATTTCTCATACTTTAAACACTACAAATAATAGTATAATATTGGTAAATATAGCTATCTAGATGATATTATAAAGTTATATTTACCTATATTACAATTTACAGCTATTTAAGTAACTCATTTTACTAATAGTAAAATATTGCATTATAAAACGTCTAATTTCGTCCAAGTTTCAACTTAAAATTACTATAAAAAAAACTGTGCTTATATATTTTTTAGATTTTTTGGTAACAGTATTACCCACTCATGAGAAATCTCGTTTTAAATTTCTGATCTTTAGCTATAAAAATTGAACATTTTATAAATTTTTAACCAAAATAACATTTGCAAATGTTCGCGGTATATTGACTAATATTGTAAAAATCTGTACTTAAAATGCTTACAAAAAAAAAAAATCGTACATAATGTATCTTCATTATTTAAAAATTGCTATTATGACAACTTATGAGGAACCTTGTATTAATTGTTTAAGCTTTTAGACCCGTCTCTAAATAGGTCAAAAAAAAGTAGAAATATTTTGAACATTTCATCATGTAGGTTAGACCTTTAGACAGTTGTAATATTTTATCATAATCATTTGGTGAAAAATTGAAGTATCTATTTATAGTTGATTTTTGAATTACAACAAAATATCAAAAATCGTTTGAGGAGAAATTATTAACTAACTGTTGAATATCCATCGTAAAAAATTAATATCAAATGCTTAAGCGAAATGATTCCAGTGTTGGGAATAGATCACTAAAATAATATCTAGATAAAGATTTTTAAAATAAAATATCTTAAAATGTTATCCAGTAATAAATTAAAATATATTATAAGACAAATATTGGTAAGGTTACAAGAATACAAGAGAATTACAAGGACAGTTACTAGTCGCGTTGACTCGTTTGTATTTTGTTTAGATAATCGGATCCTAAAATTTAAACTCTGAAGTATATTAATATTTATATTATAATGGATACTGTCTGTATAATAGTAATAGAATTGGCATCGGGCATCAAGCGGTGGGATGTAAACCAACAACCACCAACAACCCACCACCGATTTAAATCATATTACAAATTACAACAAATACATTTTATCACGACTTAAACTAGACGGTTATTTTTTTAATAATTTAAATATGTGTTCATTGCTATTGTCAATTTAGATTTAATTTGAGAAAAAAATATCAATTAATCTCAAATTATTATACTATTATACATTTTACTACATTTATAACGAATACTATTTAAATTTAAAGAAACATATAGTGTTTTATTTTTTTGACATTGCTGACTAGCAGATAAAAAGATGCAAACACTATTTTCATCGCAGCCAATTGAGAAGTCCTTGGGTAAATAACTATAGGAGGTTAAAGTATCAATGTTTTTAAGACTTCAAACTACATTGTTATTAGCTAGTTTTTACTGTGGACAATATTCCACACCATTATTTTTAACTTGCAATTCACTATGTCATGCGAGAAGCTCAAAAATAAATCATAAAATGAACTTCGTTTTTTTGACACTCCATTCGGTTTGTGTGGCGACTACGGTTGGTACGCGTTTTTTATGTGAGGCAGATAGATCGTCGCAAAGAACCCTGGTGCCTGGTGGTCACCCATCTGGGAGCCTGCTCGACCTCCGCACACATTATGTTAGTGACTGCGTCCAATCACCGCAATTCACCAGGTCACCATTCAATGAACTCTAATACCATCCACGTTAAATTGTATATTATTATTATTATATGTTTATATTATATTTACCAGTTTAAATTCTTGCAAATGTATTATATTATATAACATTTGACATATAAACAAATTGTATACAATATTACAATCCTTAATATAGCAATAGTACTGAGTAGTAAAATATATAATGGTATATACAGATTACTGTAAATTTAATAATTTGTTGATCGTTGCCACATCGATAAAATCAAATATTAAAATTACTTGACCGTCATATTTAAAAGGTGATTTTGAAAGGCTCTAATATAGATACTTGTATATTTTAGAAAATTAAGGTTTCGGAAATATAGTTAAAATATATTAGACTAGGTACGTTATGTTATTTGGTATTAGCAAGACTTAAACAGTTAACCTAACTATTAATTAATCATAGAAATAATAAACTAGGTATAGGATCAATGGATCATAGTCAAATACAATTTTAATGTAAACATTCGAATTAATAATTGTATATATATATGTATATTCTTATAACGTATCTACTATACAGAGTATGACAGTATATATGAAAAAAAAAAGGAAAATTAAATATGTCCATTTATGTTCAATTATTACCTAATAATCGTTAAGGATCAAATGTGTACCGGCTATTAGGTATTTATTCATTGCTCAACATTTTAAAAAACCTAAAATATATATAGATCTATTAGAAATTTGATAAAGGTATACAAATAGTATGTACCTAGGTACCTATTATAATAATTAAAAAATATATAATGTAATAAAAAAGGATAATGAAAGGATTGCTGAATAAAAAAACTTGAAAATTTACCCATAGACCATAAGTCATTTCATATTAGAAGTTCAAAAGTAGGTAATAAACATATACAAATTAAAGGCACACATTTTTTTATGAGCATTTTAAATTCAAATTTTGCCGAAATCCATCATAATCGCGAACATTATCAAATTATTTTGTATTTAAAAATGTATATAATATTCAATTTTTATAGCTAAGAACTAGAAGTCCCCCCAAGCCCCCCCCCCCCATTTCCGCCTATGCTCGTATACATTATAAACATATAATATAACGAGCCCATGGCTGATGGGCCTTTCGCTGATAAATTATTTAACTAAAAGCTGTTTTTGAATAAATCTAGCTTATCAAATCTATCCTATAAGTACACCTATAATTGTATAATTAATTTTAATTAATGCAATCTAAACTACGACCTGCAGTCACATCTTAATTGGTTGACGGAATATCACTTCACGCGTGAAACTTAGCACTCTAAGTACTGTGTTGGCAGCTATTTTAAGACGAAGAAAAATAATTAAATTAATTGAAAACATTACTTTGCTTTACTTTAATTCAAACACTATATTATATAAATACCAAACTTAAAAAAAGTTAAATGCTTCTTGGAAACAATTTCACTGTCCAAGTATCACAATATTATAAATAAACTAATTCTATTCGATTAAACAGTGTATAGGCACAATCGTCGTCAACAAATATCAATACTAGCCAACATGGCATAATATCAATGTTATATGTGACGTAGTGTTTACTGTTTATACGTCATAATAATATCATAATAATAATAATGAGGGACGGAGTGGCCGAGCGGATTAAAGCCTCGGTTGCGACGCACACTGGCGCCGGTTCGATGCCGGCCGCGGGTGGCATTTTACTTCGGGCAAGTCACGGTGTCCGGAGAAAAGTGCCACCATCCCCCACCCGGGCATGGCAGATACCTACGGCTGCCCACTAAAAAATCTGCCGAAAGAAAAAAAACACGTGTTTAAAACTTACAGTACCCCCCCCCCCCCCCACACTAAAACCCACTCAATGGCCTAATAGTTGCCGCGGGTTAATTAATAAAAAAAAAAATAATAATAATAGGTAGAAATATAACGTCATTGAAGATACTTCAGGTATTACTTGTAGGTATATACAATAGTTTACAAAGAAAATTGTTTGCTCGTCATGCAGGAAGGTTATAATATGAATATAAGATGTTGCCCACGATGTAGATAACCAAGAGTTTATGTTTGTAAGGACCGTGGTATATAGTTTTCAGTGTTGCCCCAATTACTTATTCGAGAGGGGGTAACATTTATTTTACCCCCAATGATTTGTTGACATCATACAGCATACATTTTATACATACATTTATCTAGTTAAGTCTTAACACAAATTAATGTGACTTTCTGGTAAGGTTTTCTTTTAACTTTTCTTTGGTAGACAGTCGAAAATTTTTTAATTTTCTCAATTTTAAATGAATTTTGTTTCAACTTAAGACCCATATTGAAAATAATATATTGTGGATCTGTGTTCAACTTAACCGAGAGAGGAAATTATTTATCGATGATAATTAAAATAAAAATGTTTAATGCTCAAAAAGAGTCTATATATTTTGAATATCTTGTAGGAAATATCTTTCAGGAAAATTCTTATATATTATATAAAAATGTTGTCAAAATATAAAGTTTTTACGGTTATTCATTTTTGAGTTGCAACAGAAAAACACAATCGATTTTGTCGACAACTGGTTTTGTGTAAAAATTACTTTTATATTTGTTAATTTTTTTTTTTTTTCACGACGCTTTTGAAAATTACTGGGAACTTTTTTACTTTTGATTTTTGACTCAACAAAGTATCAACTTGATTCACTTTCCTATCAGAAAAGATGCTGAAGTAGAAATTTGAACCATTTTTACTGACATAATAGGTGATTGCAGACATAAAATAAAAATAAAATATAAAAACACAAATCGTTGTAAAATAAAATTTTTCTCGTGTGCCGGAGGGCCATAACCCACGCTATTTCAGTTGATATGTAGGTACTAATTGTTTTATCACTTGTAAAATAAAAAAAGTAAATGTACTCATTGTACTGTATTATCAGAGATTTTGACTTTTTACATAATACTATTGATTATAAATACAAGAATTTATGTTTTAATGGTAAAACTATTAATTAAATTATTAGTTATTACTTATTGGCTATTTCTAATGTTATCACACATTTACTTTTTTTATTTTACAAGTGATAAAACAATTAGTACATATCAACTGAAATAGCGTGGGTTATGGCCCCCCGGCCACATGAAAAATTTAAAATTTAAAATTTTAAAATTTTACAACGATTTGTGTTTTTATAATTTATTTTTATTTTATGTCTGCAATCACCTATTATGACAGTAAAAATGGTTCAAATTTCTACTTCAGCATCTTTTCTGATAGGAAAGTGAATCAAGTTGATACTTTATTGAATCAAAAACAAAAGTAAAAAAGTTCCCAGTAATTTTCAAAAGCGTCGGGAAAAAAAAAAAAAAATTAACAAATATAAAAGTAATTTTTACACAAAAAGAGTTATCGACAAAATCGATTGTGTTTTTCTGTTGTAACTCAAAAATGAATAACCGTAAAAACTTTATATTTTAACAAAATGTTTATATAATGTATAAGAATTTTCCTGAAAGATATTTCCTACAAGATATTCAAAATATATAGACTCTTTTTGAGCATTAAACATTTTTATTTTTAATTATCATCGATAAATAATTTTCTCTCTCGGTCAAGTTGAACACAGATCCACAATATATTATTTTCAATATGGGTCTAAAGTTGAAACTTATACAAAATTCATTTAAAATTGAGAAAATTAAAATTTAATTTTGACTGTCTACCAAAGAAAAGTTAAAAGAAAACCTTACCAGAAAGTCACATTAATTTGTGTTGAGACTTAACTAGATAAATTTATGTATAAAATGTATGCTGTATGATGTCAAAAAATCGGGGTTAGGAAAAAAAAGCAAGTAAAAAAAAGCAAGTGAAAAAAAAGCATATGGATAAAAAAGCAAATTGAAAAAAAAGCGAATGAAAAAAAAGCAAGTTACACATTTTACAGTCACCATAAACATTACCTCGTATATAATAACGAAAATATAAATTATTAATATAAATTTTTTGTAACTTATAAAATATACCTATATACCTGTAACATATAATTATTAAATGTTGTAATAAATGTAAACTCAATCAAATAAAAAAAATAACACCAACCTATGGAAAAATTCCGGACTTAGTAGAAAAGATGAAACCACAATCAACAGACTTCGAATAGGACACACACATCTAACGCACAGCTACTTGATGAGCAACGACGAACCTCCATTATGCGACACATGCAGAGTCCCCCTAACGGTAAAACATATCATCACCGAATGCCATAAATACAACCAGTACCGCGATCAATTCCACATCTCTGAACAAATCTGTCAAGCACTTGGACCAAACCCACAGGACACTAACAACTTAATTTTATTCCTTAAAAAATCAGAATTGTATAACTTAATTTAAATAAAAAAAAAAATTATGAAATATATTATTTTAAATACCTCTTAACTTAGCACCTTGTACTAATGACCTAGATGTCGATGTATTCAAGATCAATAAAAAAAAAAAAAAAAAAAATAAATGTAATAATTACGTACAATCATGTTTTTGTGGGTGACCGTACAAAGTGTCCTACAACCCAATATTCTGGTTATCGCTGCTCGGATAACGCGCTCGGATAACGGCTTATGACACCAAAGTTTTTCCAAATCACACGCCGATTATAGATTACAAAATCACCCAATATACCCAAATATAATATCGCTGATAATATCAGTCTGTCCAAAGCTACGAGATAACAGCTCGGCTGCGTTCATTACCACTCTCATATAAAAATTCAACGTTTTTTCTACTTCGTTTTAAATTAGTAATATTATTTTTTTTTCTTTATTAATTGAAATGTCGCATCAAATCATAAAATCTAATAAAAATACGGAAAAGGTTTGTTTAAATGGCCACATGTATACGAAACATTACAGTACTTTAATATCTGATGTTTGGAGGTGCTCTAAGGCGTCGAGTCTCAAGTGTCCAGGCAAATTAAAAACATCGAAAGAAAATCCTACTGAAATACCAATAATCGATAAAGCACATACTCATCCTCCAGACACATATGAAGTTGAAGTCAATAAATGCTTAGCACGAATGAAACACAAGGCAGCAACTACGTAAACAAATCCAATTGAGATTTACTGTGAAGAACTTGGAAGCTTGGATAATGAAACTCGAGCTAAGATGCCACCAGAAACAATTACTAAAAGAACTCTTCGAAATCAACGATCAAAAAATAATTTAAAAGAACCCAGACATTTAGATGACTGTGTAATCGAAGGTAAGATGAAAATACTATATTATAATTTAGGTATATTTTTTTATTGATAAATAGTTGATTATTTGAGTATTTTATTGATTACCTATCAGGTTTTTTTAATATTTCTAAATATTAATAATATAATACATTATGTAATTACGATAAAACATTTTTAATTAATTATTTTTTGAATTTAAATTATAGGTGACTGGGCACTAACAAATTATGGACTTAGATTATTACTAAAAGATAGTATGGAAGATCAATTTGAAGACAGAGTTATCATATTCGCCACTGATAAAGGGTTAAAACATCTTACCGAGGCGGATACATGGATCTTCGATGGTAACTTTGCAATGGCACCTTCTATTTTTCAACAATTATACGTAATAAGAGTCAAAATTCATGATTTGTATATAACTACAGTATATTGTTTATTAGAAAAAAAAACGCAAACTACTTATGAATATATGTTACAATCGTTACTTAATGCATGTCATAATCAAAAATTGTATCCTGCAGAGTGCAGACCCTATTAATGTTCATATTGACTTCGAAAAGGCAGCTAAAAATGCAGTCACATCTATATTAGGTGAACATGTAAATATAAAAGGTTGTTTTTTTCATTTAACGCAAAGTACCTATAGGAAAATACAATCCCTTGGTTTAGTAAATTTATACACGGAGAATGAAAATTTTAGTTTGTTTTGTAGAAAAATTGATGCTCTAGCTTTTTTACCTGTTGATGATGTTCCAGCTGGAATTGACTATATTAAAAGTATTATGCCAGAAGAGGCTAGAGAACTAGTGAATTATTTTGATCAAACTTATATTTCGGGAATAAATAGACCAATTGGAATTTCACGGCCAGGTAAAAAAACCAAATTTCGAAATATTCCACCAATTTTTCCACCTGCTACGTGGAATGTACACGAAACAACTCTTAAAAATTTAGATCGTACTAATAATCAAACAGAAGGATTTAACATAGATTTTCTAAACTCGTTGGCTATAATCATCCCTCTATTTGGACCCTGATTAAAAACATTAGATTAGAGATAGATTCAGATAGCACTAAAATAGCTCAATTTGATATAGGTAATTTACGACCAAAAAAAAAAAAAAAAATGTATGAAAATATGCAAGAAAAGTTATTTTTACTGTGTACAAAATACAAGAATAATAATGATGATAATTACATCGAACACTTCTTAAACGCTGTAGCTTATCATATACGTTTTAAATAAATACATTTGCTTGATTCGATTTTTTTTAACAAACTATATGTAATAATTATTTGTCAATTTTAATAGTAAAATGTAATATACTTATGACTTATTATAATATAATTATATAGATAATATATTTAATATATTTAATTAATTAATAAAATTATTTTGATCCGATTTTTTTTAACAAACCTTGTAATGATATATACCTATAATAATAAATAATAAATACCTACCTAAAAAATAAACTCAAACAATAATTAGTTTTTGCTTTTTTTTCATATGCTTTTTTTTCACTTGCTTTTTTTTACTTGCTTTTTTTCCTTTGCTTTTTATGCACTTGCTTTTTTTCCTAAACTCCAAAAAATCATTGGGGGTAAAATAAATGTTACCCCCTCTCGAATAAGTAATTGGGGCAACACTGAAAACTATATACCACGGTCCTTACAAAACATAAACTTTAGGTTATCTACATCGTGGGCAACATCTTATATTCATATTATAACCTCCCTGCATGACGAGCAAACAATTTTCTTTCATGAAATTGTTTTCGTAGAATAGTCTGGTTGTTGCATAGAATATCCCTGCATAGTGCATTAAAATCTCCAACATCTGACGAATCATATATACTGTTAGTTTCATTACTTACATCTAAAAAGTAATTAAACTAACATCATTATATAGAAACATTGAAAAAATAAAATAAAATTGTATAAGAAATATTTTATCCTACACACATAGACATAGGCGCAATTTCAACTTTATGCTTGGGGGGGGGGGGCTGATTATATTAAAGGCAAGTAGACCATTGCAATATAGCATATTAAAATTGTATGTCCTAGGTTTTTGGAGGGGCTTAGCACACCCAAGCCCCCTAATTTGCACCTATGCCTACACATAATATTATGTTCTAGTAAAAATATTAAACAGAACAGTAATACGATAAAATTAAACCATATATCAATACCATTTGGCATTTAATTATAATTTCCAATTGTTTAGTATTGGTTAATAAATAATAATGAAATCTATGTTATTAATTACTGTTAAAATGTACACTCTGTCTAGATCCATCTAATATCTAGTATACCTTACATATTATTATAATACAACTTTTGAAAAACTTTCTTTCATGCATGGCCTCATGGGTGAAGAACTTGTTTCTGGCTCTGGGCCTTGTCGTTAAAATAAAATAAACGTTTGGTATTTCGATTAAATAGCCATAGGTATATATTTTTTAAATGTATTAAAAGTACTTATTATTTTATTATTAAATATAACACTTGACACTACGGTAGTAATAGTGAACTCGATAGGTATAAGTGCTAGCGATGGGCATCACCGAAAAATTTGAATAACCGACTTATAGTTGGTTACAATTATAGGTACCATGACCAACAAACAACAAAAGGCTTAATGACTAGCATTATTCAAAACGGCTGATGACTAACTTAAAAAACCACTAGGTAACTAACGAATACCGACTAAAAAACCAGTCTTGTAAAGAATACTTTTATTTTGTATTCAGAATACATATTCGAATAAATGAGAATTAATGTATTCAGAATACGTATTCGAATACTTCTTAAAAAATATATTCAGAATACATATTCGAATAATTTTTTTTACATCACTAGTTTTTGTTGGTTTTGGAATGATTGCAAATTAACATTTATTAGGTACCTAGTTAATAATTTAAAATGCATCAACATAATATAATTGCAAATAGTTGTTATATTTATAGTAAGTGTTTACAATTTAATAAAAAATACATTCCTATTACATTTTAATAACATTACTTTTTCAAAGTTTTCATCACTCATACGACCACGTTTTTTTGTGAACACTGCGCTTCCGACACTAAAAACTCTTTCAACAGATGCACTACTTGGAAGGGGAGTGTTATATTTGATGAATACCTTTTTTATTGAAGGTGTTTCATTTAACGATAACAGTAATTTATTAGGACTTTTTGATAAGTATGTGGATATTTCATTTTCAATAGAAATATTTAATGAGCTTTTATTTGACCATGGAAAAAAATCATTTTCACTCACTTCAGCAATTTCCTCACTTTCGCTAGGTATGGTATTTTGGATGTCAGATAGATAATGTTGCATGCATTTCTATCACAGCTTCAGTGAATTTTTTTATTGCAAAATCATTATTTGTGTTGTCACACCACTTCGTTTTAAAAAAAGGATGAGAAACTGCTGCAACTACTAAAAAAGGATCATTAAGAATAATAGAAAATCTTTTTTTTAAACTATTGTGAATAATATCTACTAAAGGACCATTAACGATAAAATTGCCTATTTTGTTTCATGTTCGAATACTTATTGATGAGTTGTGAAATTGAAGGAATTAAAAATCCAAAATACATATTTTTGTCACCCTGTAAAATATCCAAACTAACCGCTAGAGGTTCCATTATAAAAACATAATCGTCTAACCATTCTGTTTCTGATTTGTTTAAGCGACTATCATTTAAATCATCACACATTCTTAAAAATGTCCCAGGATTTTTTTTAAATTGTTGCAATAATTAATATTTCGTTGAGTCAAAAAAAGAATTCCACCTAGTTTCATTGGGAGTTTTTAGATAGACACCTAAGTATTTTTTAACAATATCTCCTGAAGTTGTGGACCTATTTTGTTTGTTCCATAGAGCTGTGCATTTGGCAATAGTTTGCCTTCTTTGTTTTTTAAAAAGTAACAAATCACTTCCTGTACATTTGACCACTGCATTTTCAATATCCTGAAAAATATTATAAACAAAACTATTGAAGTACCACCCATGAAACCACTATATTAAAAACTTAGAGTAAGTAACTAACGCATTTTATGGTTATATTGTTTAAAATTAAATTACCTAATATTGTTTTAGATTTTTTTTTATTAGGTATGATGAATTATATGAAATAATGCTTAGAAAGTAAAATTTGAATAATATTAAAGAAAAAGTTATTTTTTGATGTTTCATTAATACTTTTCTTATTGACGGTTAAAAAATGTATTTAGTTTTAAGTCTTGACTTGACAACTAATTCTGCATTGTAAGGTCAATGGTAAAATAAATACCTACTAATTAGTTGGTAAAATAATAGTTGAAAATTAAAATAATTAAGTAGTGTCTTAAATATTTACATTTGTTGCAACTAAATTCAGCGTATGAGCAGCACATCTATGATGTTTTGGTAGACTGTAATTAAAGTCATCGGAAAAACAATTTTCATTCAAAATATCAGCAATGTTGATCATTTCAGCATTTGTTTCTTCTTCAATCTCATCAGTATTAATATTAGTTTCTGTATTAGTATCACTGTGATTGTCAATATTATTTTCTCTTCCAAAAATTCTGAAATTGTTGTATTAAGAATAAGTAATGATGAAAAAATAATTTGAAAAAAATAAATGGTTTTATCAGCCTAGAAAATTGATTTAAAATTGATATAATAATTTATAATTTTATCATTAATAAAATTAACTCATGATGACTGGCCAATAGCCAATTGATAAATTATTTTAAAAACATTAAATAATAAAAAAATTTATAACTTTTGAATTTTATAATTTATCATGTAATACCAATTACTTACTTAAAACTCTTAACAAAATTCGAACCGTTGTCTGTAGTTGTATAACTTATTTTGTTATTTATATCATATTTTAAGTACACAGATTCCATTTCCTTTGCTAAGACATCAAATGTGTCTCCCTTCCAATCGTTTTACGGTCAATACACATGATTTTCTAGTGAGATCTTCATCAATCATCCAATGACAAGTAATGCCTATGTATGATCTATCAAAAAATTAAAATGTAATAAATTATCAAAACGTATTTAGCAATGACGGTTAAATAACTTACCTTTTAAATATTGACCAGCAGTGGTAGTAAAATATTCAATATTAGTCATTTCTTCTTTAAGATGGATTAAATGGTGTTGGAATTGGGTATTTAATCTTTTCATTAAAGTTGGACGAGACATAAGTGTTCTCCCAGGAAATCCTTTTTGAATTAAAGTTTTGAAATCAAAATGATCAACTATGCTAAAAGGTAAACACGCATTCACAATAACGTTTTGGACTAATACCTACATCAAGTTCATCTAAAACAAAAAAATATTAAAATGATTGGTTAAAATTAAAAATACCAAATAAAATATTTATTTGAACAAGTTCTAATTTTTACCTTGACTTGTACAGCTCTTTTTAACTGAAGTATACTCTAATAACGTGGGTTGATTACGATCATACTTTTGAATGTGATTAGATCTTTTTGCAGATTTTAATACTTCAGTTTCACTTTTTTCGGTTTCGTAAATTTGATCATTAGAAGCATTTTTTAAATTTAATAGTTCCTTAACACTCTTTAAATTGGAATGTTGAATCTATAAAAAAAATCACAAAAATATATTTATTATTAATATGTTTATGATAATAATATATATAATATAATATAATAACAATATAATATAGGTAATATTAATTTAGGACTTAGGTATAAGTAAAGTATACCTTTAAATGATTTCGTAGGTTCGATTTCGATCTGGTATCAGCTGTACGAATTTTTGTTGATGGACAATGTACGCATTTAACTTCGAACGTTTGGAATATTAGTTCATCTTTAATTAATTTTACAGTTTTAAAATGCTCATTGTATATGTCCCACGGAAGTTTCGAACACTGTACTGGTGTTTGAATACTGATATTCGAATTAGATACAGCCGATACAGGATCATCTTCCATTTCATCAGTCAATGTGGAGGAGGACATAATAATTAATAACGTAAAATAACAAAAACTTAAAATAAACTTTTTGAAAACAAAATACGTGTGTTCACTGTTCAGTGTTGTAGAGATTTCGATTTCGATTGTGGTCTGTCGTTTGACTCGTTTGTTCAGTCGCTCGCACTGCTTTCAGCGGCATCAGACAGCACCAATGAACGTATTTCGTAATAAGAATAACTAATAATAGACATTAGTTAACCAGATAAGGATAACAAATAAACCCAACTTTCCCAGAATTCAACAAATATCGTAATCATAAGTTATTTATACATTTTAACCACTATTGTGAATTGTGATACCACCGATACGAAAACTATAATGTTCATGGCTTATAATAATATATGTCTTCAGTCTTGTCACAACTTTAAAACTATTTTTCTGGTTCGGAAAAAAGTATTTTTTTAATGAATAAAAAATACAAATAAAAGTATTCAGAATACGTATTTGAATACTTTAAAAAAAAAGTATTTAAAATAGTATTCGAATACAAAAAAAGTATTCAAATACTTTTATTCGAATACTTTACAAGACTGTAAAAAACTAATAACAAAATTAGTCGGTTAATATAGAAATATATATGAATAATTAAATATTTATCTTCAAGCTAACAAATAAATTTAATAGTTAATTATGATAATTAGACAGTGGCGCCGAACCCATGTATTAGGTGTGGCAGCCGCCACACCTATTTTAAGGGGTGGGTGTACAACCAAAATTGGTGGATAATCGTAATCCTAAGTGTAAAAAGATATTGTACAAATATAAGAAAGATGACTTCCTAGTGTGTCGCAGCGTGCAGTGTGTACTGTGTGATTACATTAGAAATAGCCAATAACTAATAATTGAATTAATAGTTTTACCATTAAAACATAAATTCTTGTATTTATAATCAATAGTATTGTGTAAAAAGTCAAAATCTCTGATAATAGCAACGAAACTAACAGTATATATGATTCGTCAGATGTTGGAGATTTTATTAATATTCATTCAATTCCAGAAGAAAAAAAGTAGGTACGGTTTAGAGTAACCCGGGGTAAAAGTGCAAGGTTTATAGATAATAGAGGTTGCCTCATAGTCATGTAAACAAATCGATCCCCCCGAACCATTCCTTATCTACTGACGTCACCAGAAGTACAAAATTCACGGCGGCGCATTTTGAAATGCTGTAGGGCATATATTTTTTTATTTTTTATGGTATACTGTTTTATTATTTTTTATTGATTTACCGCTAATTATTAATGTCAATTTATTATAATTGAATATTGTATAGTGATGTGTATGATGTGTATAGTATTATTAATTATTTTTTTTTTTAATATAATTTTAGACATGTTTTAATAACACCCACAGTCATCATATTATATTTAACTATTTTTTTAAAACTTTACAAATTGTATCTCATTGTAGTTACATGGAATTATAAGCATCTACTGAACTGAACTAAAAAGTTAGATTATTATAGTTACCTATTACAAATTAAGTAGAAAAGTAGAATTATGATAAAATATTGCTTTAAGTACCTACTTGAAAACACTGCTATATAGCCTATATAAATAAACCTATAATGTGTCTATAATTGTTGTCATTATGAGTAAGTACATTAGGGATGAATCAATTACAAAAATAAAAATAATCCAATTATTGGTTCATTAATTACATTATTGTCACATAGGTATTACCTATAATAAGGTAATTATAAGGTTAGTGGTATTAGTTCGATTAGAAGTTACACCAGGGTTTTTTCCCAATATTATCATGCGAAGTCTATATAAGGCATTCAAAGGAGACGGATGGTCATTTAACCCACCCCTAGTCCGTAGTTGTGAAAATAGGTTTTCCAGTGCATCTTGATTAACCTTACTAGTTAGAATATACTTTAATCCATGACCTCGAACAATTTTCAAAAGTAGTTTCATCCCATTTATGTGCATGAGAAGTGCCTTTTGAAAAATCTGAAGACCATATTTTCCATTGCATCTCATTAACAAAAATGTGTTGTACATTTTATCTAATAGGGCATCTTGATCATCTAAAAATAATCCATAAGGAGCTGTATATGGGGTTCGATGGTCATTTGGATGAGAAACATTAGACAAATCAAACCAATTATTGACTAATTCAATAAAATTAGCAGTATCGTTAAGTAAGTTTGTATCATCGATAGGCTTATAATGCAGAAGCGCTGTTGCAGTTGTGTGCGACAATAATTGTGAGGCTAATTTTACTTTTTGACGCTGAGGTCCTTCACAGGTTAAATGCTCTTCACTAAGTTTATAACAAATATTAATTTCTGATAATGTTTTTTTTATTAAACTTTCTAATGGTTTTTTGTTGATCAGTTGTTCATTAATTTGAAATCCAGTATCTAGTAGCCAATTTCTTATAAGTTTCAAAATATGAGGTGCATCAGGAATAAATACAATTTCTTTTTCGTTTGGAGTAGAGAAAATAGGATTTTCATAGGTTATGTCTAAAGCTTTCCATAAGACAACATTTCCACCACCACAATCACTTACACAACATACTACATTGAACCCAATTTGATCTAGTCTATCAATAATACTGAAAAAAATAGATTTTGTCATTTTCTGGTCAAAACCAACATAGATGGGTTGTTTCCACTGAGAAGCGATCCCTCTAGCCATAACCACTTGCATTTGACTATGGGGGCCAACTACTTCGTCATGGAGCACATCATACTCCATAGTACTGGATATTTTTACTTCATCGAACATTAAGACGGTGAGTTTTTCATAATCCTGTAATGTATCACCATTAAGCTTCATCATTCTGATTACATCCTCACGAATACCATTTCGCATGTCTATATTTTTTGCAGATCTTTGGAGAGAAGACAGACCTGAAATATTTAACAGACAAAGTATAAATAAATTATAATATTATTTTTGTAATGAAATATCAAAGTAAATAAAATAAGTATAATTTACCAGGCAAAGGATAATGCAATTCATCCTTAACGTAACTATATGCTCGTTTACTGAAGTATCTCAAAGTAAACGCTTTTGAAATGTCTTCAGTAGACCAATGAACCCTCTTTTTTTTTTCATTATCAAGTCTACTTGGTTTTTAGAAAATATTGTTGATAAATATTTTTTAGCTTCAACATCAACCGTACGAATTTTGTTTTTAGAAAGTAATTTAATATTTTGTGTCAGCTCTTTATTATTTTTTGTTAAAAGTGAATTTGTTGTCTGTAGTTCTTGTTTTGAGGATCTGAGAGATTCATTGATTTTTTGATAGTCAATAACAGATTCTTTATTAGATAAAAGTTCATGTTTCTGTGAGTTTATAATAGACTCATTTTTCAAGACTTCATATTTTTAAAGTAAATCACTGTACAATATTTCATAATTGGGTTGAGTAGAAAGTATAGAATCATCATCAGTTATTACTGTAGAACTAAGTACTTTGGAAGACCATGTTTTATCAGTGTTCAAAACTGAATTGATTTGTCGAAGTCATCGTGATCCTATAACATATAAAAATACTATAATTAGAAAAAACACTAAACTATGTAATATCAAAATGACTGATTTTAACACAGATTAAGTCATAATCAAATTATATTTAGATCATATCAATATTTAAAAGTAATTTTGTAATAACATGATAGGTCACTGGTTAGCAAAGGTGGGCATTAACTAATTAAAAAGTTAAAGCTAACTTTATAATTTAGTATTTAATATACTTTTCTAGTTAATACAATAAATACATTTTAGAACTTTTAGAATTAAATATGAGGTTTGGTAATTGTTAACTTTTAGCTGAATGTTCCAAATGTTGACTTAACTCAACTAAGGTTAATTGTTGTCATTAAATTGCCCACCTTTACTGGTTAGGGATACTTCAATAGCCTTTAATAAGTTTTTGTTGGTCAAAAGTCTAGATGATAGAAGTTACTGGTTTAGAATTTTACAAGACATATAATTATCATTTACCTGTTTTTTTTTTCTTGATTCCATTCTACTTTTAAGGCTAGATGATGTTGTTGATGATACATCACTGTGGGTATAGACGTATGGTCTACTGGTAAATTTATGGTAAGCATGGCATCGGGTTTTAATTTACGAAATTTAGGAGTATATGCTACAAGATTATTAAAACAATTTGATAAAAAAAATTGGTATTATGAGGTAAATTAATTAAAAATAACTATAATTACCTAAGAGTTCGGCTTTAAGATCTCGAATATATGCATCATCACTAAAATGTTCGGAACACATGTATGATAAACTAGGAGTTATACTATCTCCTCTCCTAAACTTAAGTGTCCACTTCTTTTGCAACTCTGGGTCTTTTGGAAATCTAAACATTAAAGTAAAAACTAAATTTTTGATTGAAGTATGATAAACTAGTAAATATTTTTTGAGTCATTGGTCTTAAATATTGACTACTGCAACTTTAAAATGTAGGTACTAGGTACTTAAAATGATTCAGTTTCAAACAAAATAATATTTATATACAAAATGTAATTTACTTCATAAGTATTAAATTATTTATTTTAGTATTATTACCTGTAAAATGATATATTAGTTTTTCCATCTCGCTTCACCTTGCCAGCATAGTTAATGCATGTCGCTACTGCACAACATGATCCACCTTTGGGTTTTAACGATTTTGTAGCCATATTGTCTTAAATTTACTTAAATTCATAAATTATTTTAATAATAATGGTAATTCGTAAATAAATTAAATCGTACGGTTCTGAAAAAAAAAAATTATGTGAACATTGAGAACATAACACGCAAACACTGTAGCTGATATCTAATAAACAAACATTTTGTACTTCGGCTGACGTCACGGCGTAGTTGCCCCCACTCCCATAATTTTATAATTTCTAAATGAGGCAACCTTTATTATCTATAAACCTTGGTAAAAGTGCGCATGAGGTAAGAGTCCAATTCCGCTATTATAAATTTAATTTTCAATATATGGTCAAACTGTTCATTATCAATGATTATTTTATCATTTCTAAACGTTCGTCCACACTTTTGCACATTGTTGGGACATTATTTTATTAAATATGAGGTAAGTAAAGTTATTCAATCTTCTGATGTAATATTTCAGTATTTTATAAAGTTTATTTTGTAAACTAAGTACCACTTGTAGTAGAAATAGTACTGCTAATCAAATTTAATTTGTTGTAAACTTCACATTGCAAGTGTCGTATAATAGTATCGAGTACGAAATTAATTTGGGGTAAAAGTTCGCAGTACGTACTCTTACCCCGGCCCATGAACAATTTAATTTTCTAATAACTTTCTTTTATTAAATATCTGCCCTTTATCTATAATTTTTCATTTTAGAACTCATCTAAGAAAAACGAATCGTGTCCCAATTACTGGAGTAATATATAATGCTGCAAAAAATGTAATTGATACTGGAGTATCGATTCGTAGTGCAGCAGTGCAGTTAGGGATAGGAGAGCCAGCATTAAGAAAAAGATTAAAAGTTGGGCATGGTGTTTCATCATTGGGTCGTTTTAAAAGAACATTTAATGATGAACAAGAAAAAGAGTTATCAGAACATTGTAAAGACTTAGACAATAGATTTTATGGGCTATCTTTTAAACAATTTCAACAATTAGCATATCAATTTGCATTAAAAAATAATATCAAACATCGATTTAATGAAGAAAAACAATTAGCGGGTGATGACTGGGCAAATTATTTTATTTTAAGACATAATTTACCATTAAGAACTCCTAAAAAACAAGTGTTGAGAGAATCATGGGATTCAATCGTTATCAAATAAATATATTTTTATGATAATCTAAAAACAATGTATCAAGAATTGAATGTACCACCAAGTTGTATATTTAATATGGACGAAACAGGAATACTCACAGTGCCAAATAAAGTCCCAAAAGTAATTTCTTGTAAAGGTAAAAAAAATAGTGGGCAAATCTGTTGCAGGCTGTGAATTAGTTACTGCAGTTTGTTGCTTCAGTGCGAGTGGTATTTATGTACCCCCTATTTTAGTTTTCCGAGAGAAAAGAATGAAAGACGAATATTTGAACGGGGCACCCCAGAAACTTTAGGTTTATTATCTGATAGTGGTTGCATAAATTCAGAGTTGTTTTTAAAGTGGTTAGAATATTTTAAACATAATGTTAAACCATCTGAAGACTCCCCAGTTTTACTTATTTTGGACAGTCACACCTCGCATATTAATATAAATACAATTACATATTGCCGAACAAACTTTATACATTTGGTAAGTATACCACCACATTTGAGTCATTGTACTCAACCATTAGATAGATGTTTCTTCAAGCCGTTAAAAAGATTACTATTGCCCACCACTATGATAATGGACAACCCACACATCCTGGAAGAGGGTCAAATTTATATCAACTTGCAGAAATTTTTTGAAATGCATATGGACAAACTGCATCAATGAACAAAGCCTTAAATGCATTTCAAATGTGTATGATTTGGCCACTCAACCCAAATATTTTTAGTGATGATAATTTTCTACCTTCTACAGTGACAGATCAAACAGTTTCTGAAGATCCTCAAAATGATCAGCCATTAGACATTATAAATATGCCAATTGAATTTGTTAATAATGAAGTCACATGAAATCAAACAGCTGAAGAGCCATCTACATCACTTATAGTTCCTTCTAATATATCTACAGAGTCACTAGTAAATAATTTACTTCCAGCCTCAAGTTCAAAAATGACAAAATCCCCAGTGTCACCTGCAGATATAATACCTCTTCCTAAAATATCACTAAAAAGAAAGCGTCGTACTAAAGGTAAAAAAACCGAAATTTTGTCTTCTAGTCCTTATAAAATGCAACTTGAAAATTTAGAAAAAGATAAGAAAAATGCAAAACTATTTTCTGAAAAAAATAAAGCAGATAAACAAGCAAGAAAAAATGTATTTGAAACTAAATCAAAACCAAACAAGAAAAATGTACTTAAAAAAGCTGATACCTCTAAACAAGTGAACATAACTATTGACTCTGAACAGTAACTTACAAAGAAAATCGTCCAGCATGTAACGAAAAATATATAAATCCACCAACCGAGGATTGGATTATATGTTGTAAGTGTAAAATTTGGTTGCATGAAGCATGTTCATACTATGAGGATCTCCATAAAGACTTTGTATGTGATTTATGTTCATAAAAATTATATTGTAATGACAGTTTTTTTTTTTAAATTTGTACGTATTTTAAGTTTTTGTTAAAATTGACAAGATAGTCATGAAAAAGAGATTATTTATTTTATTTTTTTCAAACTTTTATTTTAAGTTTGTGTTGAAACTTAAAATTGACAAGGTAGTCATGAAAAAGAGATTATTTATTTTATTTTTTTAATTTTGTAATTTAAGTTTATAATGTTTTATTTTTATTTTTATAATTATTAATTTACATATATTGTAAGTGTTAAATAGTTTATTTTTCCATTCAGGGATACATATTGTTCAAGTTTTTATTATAAGTTAAATGAAACAAATTGTCAAACTAGTCACTGGTAATATGGTTATTTTTTTTGTACTATTTTTATTATGCAATTAAGTAATAATAATGTTGGACTGTAAAGTAACCTAGTTCCTTATGTATTTTAATGATTGTTATGAATATTGTCAAATATTAAATGTTTAACTACTAAATACTAATTAAAAATAAAGAGTTATTCTATAAAACTAAGTCTATATTAATTTCCCATAAGGACTTTTACCCTGAGCTATACGGAATTTTACCCCATGCATGGGGTAAGATTCCCAATATTTATTATTTTTAATTTTTGTAAATAATTATTTAAAGGTATATAATAAAAAAGTTTAATCTATAAATTGACATTCTTTATAAATTTATCTTTTGAAAAAATATCACTTGAGATCATATTAAAATTGTTATCATATTACAAAAACTAAATAAATAGAAAACGCGCACTTTTACCCCAGGCTACTCTACTAATTAGTCCATACAAACCAACAATAAATTATCGTTTAAAAAACAACATGGCATCAAACTCTAAACGTGCATTTATTTTGAAGTACTTAGAACTGTATGACTCCATTCACCTAAACAAAAAGAGTTTTTTTTGTAAATTTTGCGATTTATTCAAACCCAATATATTAGAATGTATAAACATGTATATATAGAGTGGACATGTTTGGTGAGTGTCTATCTAGTATATATAGTTCAATGTTTGTACTTCAGGGGTTTTAATACAAAATAGAGAGATTCAATTCGATACAGATGAAGAAAAGATGGGCTAGGTACTTGGGTGGTCAATGGGCTGGCGAATCATATAAAACATTTCTGAAAAATAAAATATAGCATTATCCCCGATAGCATTTTCGTAATGGTAATATTTTATTCTTATCATATATTCATTATAAAAATAATGTTTTAAGATAAACATCAATAAATAATCAAATTATTATTTTGTGAAATAATATTATGAAAGAATTAATAATATGACATCAAACACGAAATAATAAAATAATATTCAGAATATGAATTTATCATTATGTTATTAATTATGAAATGTTTACATTCTATTTTGAATATATCAATAATATAACATTATTAATGAAATAATAACATAATATTCTGAATATATTATCATTATGTTATTAATGATGAATTGTTTTAATTAATTTTTGAATATGTTAATTATATGAAATCATTAATGATATAATATAATATTATTCCGAATATATTATCATAATATTATTAAAATGTAAATAATTGTATTACGTTTCAGAATAGTACCTATATGTTATAATCAAAAAATTATGTAAATCTACTATTTTCTTTTTTTTTTCAATTTTTTTATTAGGTTCTTTTACCTACATCATAGGTGGTATACTAATTAGTAATTAATTAATTAATTTAATCATAATAACGGACGTGATACAGTACTTTTTATAGGTTCGTCAGTCGTCACAAAGCATAGAGCTTATACTAATAGACTGGCCATTTATACACGTAGAGCGGCCATCGATAGATATTTTTTACTATCTGAATAATAAACTAATGTCTAAAAAAATATAGTAAAATAAGTAAGCATTTTAGACTTAATTTTACACGTCTACTAATAAGTAAAATATAAATAATTAATATAATTTACTTGTAACAATGTAGAAGTATTTTCTGATATAAGATTTTTTTTCTAAAACATTCATTAATTCTTTTAATGTTTTCACTTAGTTATAAGTCGATTGTTTTTCTTTTGTAAATCATGATTTTTTTTAAGTTCTTCATTGTATCTTTTTTTAACAAATGATAAATTTCTATCTGCTCTTTTAGTTGTTTTATAATTTTCAACAGATAAATCATTAATATCTAGTTAACAATTTGATTTTTTTAGAAGTTGGTGTAGGTGATGTACTGAATATATAGGTATACATTTGCAATATATGTGTTTCATACATAAACCTTATATTAGTATAAGGTCTATGGTTTAGTAAATAAAATAACATTTACATACTTACATCATACTTATATTTTGAATTTTTTCCTCTGGTAATACGCATGGTTTGATATATTAACAGGTAATTCAGTATTTAATTTACTATCCTCTGAATGATCCTCTGTAATATTCTCAAAAGATAATTTCCTCTTGCACCTAACTCGGTTTATAACAAATATGTATCTAAATTAAATATACAATAAAACAGCTACACAAATTACTTACGCAACAAATGGTACGGCTTTTTTTGATAAACATCCGCTTTCATAGAAACTTTCTTTGGTAAAATGTTTATCGCAAATTCTATGTGATGGCAACATTTTTTTAATACAACATGCATTTAACCAAAGTCTTTTCAATACTTCATCTTTAGGAAATCTGTTATAAACATGGTGATGGGTGGGTAGATTAATAATTGTTATTACACATTTAAACTTCTGAATTATAAAATAATTACTTGTGTAAAGAGACATCTGAATCTGCCGTGTAACCAATTTTATAAAAATATGTTATACATTAGTATGCTTAATATTACTTTGTATAATGCATATGGTATAATATGATATGTTAATTTATGTAACCTTTTTAGTTTATAACTTGTAAGGTTCTGGAGTTTTAACACTACCAAAATCTACCCACAGCCCAAGGGGAACACTTAACACGGGAGTGGTAAACTGAGTCCCAAATAATTGGGTGGATATTGGGGCTAGGTAAATTGAGTCCGGAAAACTTTAACGTGCTAGGTAAATGCTAGGTAGTTTTCGAAAAAATAATTTATGAATAACAACGATATCAATCGTATATACATCAATCATATCGTTTATAAACGATCATATCGTTAATTACTGATTTGCCGATAGTGTTTGGAAAAACCTTATGAGCACTAAAATTATCGTACTATATGTCTATATTATCCGTTTATCGGTGTTATACCATCATACCGATGACTATTACAATTGACAACCAGTCACCGGTTGTAGTTCAAGTGTTCAACTTCAAAATTACAGTTCTTAAAATTACTTATTACAAAAAACAGTGTTGTTATAATAGTGTTGCGTTGCACAATGGATTTAATGACAAGTGAACAAAACAAGACAATTTTTATAGTTGACGGGCATAAATTCCGATTCCATAAGATCCTAAAAAACGACATTCAACGATGGACTTGCTACTTAAATTATTGTAAATGTTACTTGAAATTGAACGATCATAATTCAATTATTTTTAATCCTGATAACCACAATCACCAAAAACAACATGAAGAAACGCTGAATAGACAACAATTTAATAGTGTACTAAAAAGAAAAGCAACCTCTGACATATCGACAAAACCAGCTAAATTAATTCATACAGAAATAAGAACAAGTAACTTACCACCTTGTAAGGTTTTGGGCTTTTTAGGGCCACAAAAAACTACCCACGAAAAAAGGGGATCACAAAAAGGGGAGCCGCACCTCGTGAGACCCAAGGGTCAAGTCGGTGGAACTCGCAGGCTTTGATACATGCAAGGAGTATTGCAACTCCAAGATTTATTTTGGGGAAAGGGTGTGTTGGTTATGAAATAATAAGTTGTAATTTAAATGTAATCACGTGAGTGTATTTTACAGGGGTTTTAAGTAATCAATAATTTTGTAATAATATAATCTGGCACATGGCAAGTACAATAAATATAAAAGGCACATGGTCCATACTCAAATCATTTAAGACGCTCGGCCCACGGGGATCGACACACCACATTACTCGTGGTGGTCTCCACAGGGTTACCGGGCGCAGTTTAAATGATTTGGGGAGGCGAAGGGTCGAAACATCTGTAAGTGTGGTCCGGGGCCTAATACGAGCACCTACAGGGACAGCTGGGTTTTACGCCAGCTGTATGTGAGTGGTAGGAGGTTACCGCTAGGCCCAATGGCAACCACACTTGGGCGTTCTGCAACGCAACATTTTACAAGTATCGTGCTTTTGAGTGACAAGAAAGAAAAAAAGGGGGGGACAGGGGGATTATTTTACGACGCCGAGTATGATGTTGACGGTGATGATGTGCTGGTTTGACGGCAGTCACGTGGTTGTAGCATGGCCCGACTTCGTTCCCGTCGTAGAAAACTTAGCCCATCATGGCGTGTTGGTATTGAGCCAGGAAAACGATACGTAGTTCTGACAGGTAATGTCGACACGAAATCTGGCGTGATATGAAGCGAGTTTAAGTCATTCGTTGTTCACAAAAATAGTAGTATAGTACTAGGTGGAGCGGTTATCAACCGTGGTCCGTGCTTTAGGACGACGAAAAATGGAGTGAATAGTGACCAGCGTCAGTGGAGTATATTTTATGGCGAAAACCGAAATCCAAAAGTGTGATAGTCGTACGGCAGCTGAATGGCGGTGGTGCTGGGGCAGTGTCGTTTGGTTGCGGGATCATTACATAATATTGTGTGGTCAGAACGCACTGTGTGCGGTACCGGTTTTGACAACGACGGCGGTGACAGCAACAGTCGCCAGTGGCTGCAGGTCGAGTGTGCAAACACTGCTGAGTGCGGGGTGGGGGGGGGGAAAGAACATATTACATAATATTGCTGTTATTATTGAGAATTCTCTTTGCGCGGCACATGAGAATAATTGTATGCTGATAATTTATTATAGGGCCTAAATTCCGTGACGTTACAACCTTTAAAATTATCAGATGTAAGTATATAACCCTTCTCAAACGAAATATACGAAATTCCCGAAATAGTATTCATCCAAAATTGCCTAAAAGTTCTTTAGAAACACACAATGCGTTCAATAATAATATGGAAATACTGACAAATACTGGTGAACCTTTTATGATAATTAATGACATTCATACGAGTATAATTATTTTTCAAACATCTTGTAACTTATTGCTCAACAATAGATTTAACATTTTTGCCAAATCGAATTTTTATTGATTTCGAGATAGGTATACATAATGCCGCAAGACATGTTTGGCCTTTGATTGAAATCAAAGGATGTCGATTCCACCTTGGACAAAGTTGGTGGAAAAATATTCAAAGTCTTAGATTAACCAACGTATATCGAGATCAAAAATCCGAACACAGTAAATTTTTAAGAGTATTTTTTGGTTTACCTTTTCTAAGCCCAAATGAAGTTGATCAGTGTTTTGTTGAAGATATCATGGCAATTCAACCTGCAGGAGATAAAGTACAGGCATTTTTTAGATTACGTTTTTGATACACATATTGATCCTTCTGGTTTATTTCCTCCTAATGTTTGGACTGAGTTTAAGGCAACAACAAATAGAACAACAAATGTTTGCGAATCATTTCATTCAAGACTGAATGGAATGTTTAATTGTTCTCATCCAAACATTTACAATTTCATTGATATACTTAAAGACATTCAAATAGATTCATATATAAAAATCCGTAGCAAAGAGGTAATTAAAATGAAAAAAATAACCATAGAAAAAGATTTTTTTTTGAGACAAGAAATGTTGAAATATGAAAATAAAAATATTTCACAATTTGAATTCGTTAAGAGCATATCAAATAAATTTTTACCATGTACAAAATAACAATAAAAAGTAAAAAAAAAAATAAATTGACTTGAATTTGTATATTATTTGTGATTTTTATGTACAACATTGTGAATTATATAAGATATTAAAAACAAAAAAAGCACATTTTTAACCACGCCTGTTAACACGGACAGTCCTAAGCCTGTAAAAGTGGGAAGGAAAATGTAATTATAAATTATAATCAGGGACTCAGTTTACCTATACCCTTTTCAGACCAGGGACTCAGTTTACCACAAAACAGGTATTTCGGACTCAATTTACCTAGCCCCGGCTGTGACCCGCGTATAGGCCCGAAGGCCAAGTCTGTGGAACTTGCAGGTTTTGGTATAATTGAATATCGAAGATTTATTTAAAAAGGCAAAACAAGTTAATAATAATAATAAGATAGATTTTTAAGGTAATCAGGTGACTGTATTCTACATGTCGATCAAATAAATAAATAATGTTTTGACAGTTGTTATAAGTGGATAATTTGGCGCACGGCAAATGCGCAACAAAAGTAAAGCAACATAATTTTGGGGCACATGGCAAGTGCAGAATAACAAAAAAACCAAATATAATATTATTATCGTGGGGAGCACGTGGCAGGTACATTTTTCTAAGGTTTTATTTTTTGACACAGGGCACTTATGGGGAAGAGAGAGAAAGGAGAAGAAAAGTTATAATTCGGCCTGTCGCAAGACAATATTTTTTATGTAATTAATTAGTTAATATTACGAGAAACACGTTTGTCCGACCCACAGGAGACGACACACCATAGTATGGTGTGTCCCCACGGGGTTACCGGGCAAAACGCGTGCACAACACATGGATAATTTGGATGTCAAATATTGTTTCTGTTTTCTTTTAAGTTTTTTCGTTTTACACAGCTTGCGACAGCCAGTGAGTACGTGCCACGCCTTCTAGATCGTACATTAAAGGGGGGGGAATACAAGGGAATACATATTTACGAAACGACTTGAGCAGCAGGTGATGTGTTGATTCGATTGATGGGTCGGTTCGGCCATCATAGCCCACAGTGTTTGTTCTTAGCCCATCATGTTGACTGTAGATCCCTCGTCGAAAAGTAAATTGGCACTTTGGTGAAGGTGGATATACACGTGGTACAGCTGATGTCCAAAACTGACGGCTTCGGTACAGAGTGTGTCCGGAGACGTCAGGGCGGTTAGCCAAGTGTAAACTGATTTTCATAAAGATTTTGGTACAATACAAAACAATATCACTAGACTCCAGGAATACACTAATACTTCCCAGGTCTCTATCCTGAGTGGAAGCATGAAACATGTAAACAGTGTGCAACGCAGTATTAATTCTCGCATGCAAACGATAACTGACCGTCTCTGTGATCTCTTCTGTGGACAGGAGGCTCGACTGGCTGCGGTAGAAAACAAACTGCAACATACCACTCTAACCCCCCCTGCTTTTTCTCAAACACTGCCAACAGAAAATATTTCTCAGTTCCCACCCACCTCATTTAATATACTCTCCTCTACGACAATGCCCAACGTCTCTCAACCCAATACCCTACCTCAATATTATATTTCATCAATCCCTGTAATGCAATCCAGTCAAGTTTTGCCCAACCACAGTTGTAGTTTTTCAAACAACGCTTCCCATACTTCAGGTGTCTCTCTGGATCCCACTAGGATACCTAAGTATGATGGACAATTATCGCCACTCCACCCGGCTGACTTCTTAGACAAAGTTGATCAATACTTTTTTATGCACAACACCCCTGATAAGGTCAAAATCAATTTTGTGAGCGACAACTTTACGGGTAAAGCATTTCTTTGGTACACAACTCTCCTCCCTCCACCGTATATCTATAAAGAATTTGTTAAGTCTTTTCGAAATTACTTTTGGTCACCTAGCCTCCAACGCTCCATTAGGATCGATCTGTACCGTCCATACTATCATCGGGATGCATCCACTATGTCGGAACATGCAATGGACTAGATCAATCGTGCCCGTCATCTACAGCCCCCTAATTGATCAAACAGAAATGGTAGACCAGATCACCTCACATTTTTCAGATAATATCTCCTTAGCCCTAAGAGGTCTCAAAATTCTCACCACTAATGATTTAATACAGCGGCTCACATATCTTCAAAGTGCTCATGCATCCCCCCAACAACAACAATAGCAGTAGTAACAATCCAAATCATCCACACAATTCTCAGCAACAAAATTCATATAATAACACTTCAGCCTTATACAATTCAAATCGCTACAATCAACGTCAAAACAATTACAATCGAAATCAATACAACAATAGCCACAACAATAATACACCCGCACCCCAGCAACAACCCGGTCATGTAGCACCACCTACGGGAAACTCTGCGTGACCTGGCCTCAATGGCCTGGGCCTGGGCGTGTCCTCAATGGACGTGCCCAGTGTCCACTCTAAACAGTTCTCCTGTAGGCTGTAGAAATCCTATCTCACCCGTTAAATTTAAACCAAGAAAATTTCCCCCTCCCAACTATCACCCCGAAATACAAATTCAACTTTTCAATGTTCCCTACAATGCTCTGCTTGACTAGGGTGCTCCCGTGTCTGCAATTTCTGAACATCTTTTTAAAACTTTAAAAAATGACCTTGCCAAACATAATATCCTCTTGTTCCCTTTAACCGGTATTTTACTCACCACAGCATTAAGCTATAAGTCGGTCAAAATGAAGTCTCAAATTTATTTAACTTTTAAAATACAAAATTATGAAACTCATGGTGTTTTCTTGGTCGTGCAACAATTATCAACATCTTTAATACTTAGTACAGATTGGTTATTGGAGTATGGTGTGAATATTTATTATGATAAAAAACAAATCATCCTCCCTTCCCTCAAAGATAAAATACCTTTCACTATAATTTCTGATCATGATCCCAATAGCTTAATTAATTCTCTAAAACACATAAAAATCGATAATCATTTCTCCCCTTTACTGAAAGTAATCCAAATTCTATCAATGACTCTCTCCCTTTCGAAAATAAAAAAGCGTAGCCCTCAACGATATCCCTCTAAATGAACCACAAAAAATACAGATGAATTCTCTCATTCAAAATGATGACCATATTTTCCAAAAATGTCCTGGTCTACATAAATTTTTCACATATAAATTTACACGAACCATATAAGATTAAATCCTACCCTGTCCCATTCTCTAGGTGTCCTGCTGTACAACATGAGATTGATAAAATGTTGGATTGGCAGATTATTGAAAGGTCAGATTCCCATTATAATAATCCCCTGGTCACGGTGATCAAAGCCGACGGTTCAATTCGATTGTGTCTCGATGCCCGCAAACTTAACACCGTTATTCTACCCACCAGAGATGCGTCTCCCCCCATAGACGATATACTAGCAAAATTTAACAACAAAAATATTTTCTCCTTTCTCGATTTTTCCTCCGGATATTGGCAGAGCCCTCTTGACCCCTCTGTACGACAATACACTAATATTCTATATGACCGGAGGTCTTACCAGTTTTGTATAGTTTTTTTCGGCCTCAACGTGTCCAATGCCGCCATTGGCAAAGGACTCGAAGTCACGTTCGTGAACTTAGCGGCAATCATGTAACAGATTTCAATTAAACCTATCCAACAATTTTGTTGGACATTTTTGGAAAGGTTTTACAATTTGTTGGACCGTCATTAAAAAGGTGTCACTTGGACAACTTTTTTAAAAAGTTCCAAAAGCCATCCGAAACGGTTGTAAACCATTTGTTGGAGTTGTTGGAAAGGTCCTGCCATTTGTTGGAACTCCATTTTTTTTATACGAAATTTTGGCAAAGTGCCGCTAACTTCAAACCATCAGACAAATTTTTTTAAAAGTTCCAAAAGCCATCCAAAACGGTTCTATATGGTTTGTTGGACGTTGTTGGAAAGGTCCTGCCATTTGCAGCTCTCATATGTGTATAATCTAATATTCGCTCCCGACTTTTTCGCTCATATTTCTGTTTATAGTAGCCAGTTTTTTGCATACTTTGTTATAAGTCCGTCCTTAGATTGGTGTCGATTTTGTGTCGGTCCGCCCACAATTCTCCTTCACAAGGACAATTTATGGTTTCCTCGTGCATACATATATACGGCCGCCGAAAATACGTAAGTTTATTTATAATATTATCTGCTCGACGGATCGCACGGACTGCGTTATCGCGCCGCCCAGTAATTACTTTTACCGATTCGAAATACGACCCGATTGCACCATCTTATACAGTGTGTGCGCCGAAACTTCTCTTATACAGCGTATCATAGTGCACGCCAATTGCCACTAAACAAAAACTACATTCTCTTTCTACTTCTACTTGTCTACTTCAAACTATGTCCAAGCCTTCACCAGTCATCACCCGTTCGGGCTCTACAACTTCCACTACTTCTAAGAAATCCACTTCTTAAAAGCTATTGATCGTATCCAATCATCTCAAGATAAATTATTGGCTGGCCACAAACCTTAGGTACTGATCTCTACGAGTATACTCTTACTTCACGATTTGATTCTCTCTCACTTGAAATTTCTGAGCTCCGTACTAAAGTGGACCTCCTAGAATCTAAGGTTCTAGCTCTAGAGTCAAACACACCAAATTCATCAAATGTCCCATCCACCCAAATTTCAGATGTCTTACAGGAATTTACCGAGCGGGATCGATGCAAGCTCAATATTATTATGTATGGTCTATCCGAATCCACATCGAGCGATCTCCCTACTAAAATAAACGACGATAAGTTCACTGTACGCGATATATTTTCTAAACTCTCTGTCGATGTACACACTGATTTCAAATCGTTTCGTCTTGGTAAACCTACCTCCACCTCAACTCGACCTCTAAAAGTTATCTTTGGCTCCTGTGAAGCTGCTTCTGCTGTTCTTACGTCTTATCATCAAGCTAAAATCCAAAAATTGTCCCTTCTACCACTCACCTCTTACGGAAACTTGGCTCACTAATAGTTTTTACTCTTCTGAGCTCGATCTCAATAATTACAATATATTTAGATGCAACAGGTCTCCTCAAACCAGCTCATGTAATCGCGGTGGTGGTGTGTTAGTAGCTGTGCGTAAAGACATTACTTCTTCCCCCCCTTAATATACCTAATAATAATGTTGAGCAAATATTTGTCCGCTTCTCTCATAACTCCTTAAATTTTATAATTGGCAGTGTTTACATACCATCTTCGTCGCCCATTGAGCTTTATACTACTCATCTAAATCAAGGAACAGTTATAGCTTTTTAGCTCTCCTGTATACATTTAAATTCTTGCAGTTTCATTATTCGTTTTTTCTTATCGTGCTCACTGCCTCAACTACGTTCCTGTCTACAACAATCACTCGTGTTTTCAAATCATCAAACCAAGTATTTCTAAAGTTTTTTTGGAAGTTTCATCTACACCATAGATCAATAAGTACTACGAAACACCGTAAAATGTCTGTTATCATTTTGATTCTTATCACATCTATGAAACACTTAGTGCTCTGTCAGCTGTTTTTATTTGTTTTCTGGAGACTTTAACGCCTGTATACACAATATCATATTAATACTTCGAGTACAATATTAATTAATTACTATCATTATGGAAGAACAACTTGCCTCCATAATAAGCTCCTTGAGTGAGATCAAATCAACGCAAAGTAAACTTATTCAATCCTTCAATGAACAAAATAAAACGATAAAAAATTTTAGTATTCGTTTTGATAATCTCTCTTCACAAATAAATAATTTATCGGATGAAAATGCTTCATTAAATGGAAAAGTTTCTCAACTTGAACTCAAAATCAAAAATCTCGAGCAAAATGCTTTATCAACCTCGAAAACAACACATCTTGATATAATTAATGAAATTGCTGACAGACAGTCTAGAACCAATAATATAATTTTATTCAATCTTCCTGAAGCAACAGACCCTTCCAAAATCAAACCTGATAGCGAACGATCAAAATTAATCTTCAATGAGATGGAACTAAATATTGAACCTATCAGATTTTTTTGTCTGGGCAACCCTTCAACTCGAGCTCGCCCGTTAAAAATCACTCTCAATGATACAGAAAATGTATTTAACGTTTTACGTGCTCAATCTAAAATCCGTTCTTCAGATGAATTTAAAGAATTACGCTTCTCTTCGGATCCCACTTTGAAATAACGCGAACAAATGTCTACATTACGTCAAGAGCTGGAGTAACGGCGAAAACAATATTATTATTAAATATATTAAAGGCAACCCAGTTATTATTAACAATTCAAAAAACTAAATTATACTCCATTTACTCAATCAATATATTATCAAAACGTCCTTGCTATCAATTCTAAATTGATCAAACTAAATGCATATATTCCTTTATCAACTTTTGATATTTTTGATTTTACTGAAACATGGCTCACAAGTAATGTAAATTCCTCAGAACTTGGATTCAAAAATTACAATGTTTTTCGATGTGACAGAAATATTCATACCAGCAATCTATCTAGAGGTGGCGGAGTACTCATTGCTGTAAATAATAAACTCTCGTCGAAACTCATAAATATTACTACCAAAAATCTTGAAATTGTCTTTATTTTAATCAAAACCGGTCAATATAATATTATTATTAATTCTGTTTATATTCCAAATCGCTCAACTATAGAAATATTTGAAGAATACTTTAATATTGTTAATAATATACGTTATGATTATCCATCATCAGACTTAATTTTGCTAGGTGACTTTAATATTCCATCAGCTATCTCATCTCATACAAAATCTTTTTTTTTTTGATAATATCTCATTACTTAATATGACCCAATTTAATAACATTGTTAATTCAAAAAATAATATTTTAGATTATGTAATATCAAATAATAATTCTATCAAGGTATTTTTAAGTGAAATCCCTATTGTTGATATTGATTCTTATCACCCCCCACTAGAAATAAACTGTGAAACACTCAATTATAATGTTGATTCTATTTATACTGATGAAATTATATACAATTGGTCTAAGGCAAATTACCGAATGATTAACTCACATTTGGGCTCAATAAACTGGCTTAACTTACTTCATAATACTAAAGACATAAATTATAATATTTCTACTTTTTATTCTATTATTACCTCTATTGTATATACATATGTTCCTACGTATAAAAAACATAGCTCATCATATCCTATTTGGTTTAGTAACAAACTTAAATATTTAATTAGAGCAAAAAAAAAAGCCCACCTAGACTTCAAATACACTAATTTATCGATTGAATTTAGAAAATTCTCAAACTTAAGTAGTCAATGCAAAGTTACGAGGAAAAATGATTACACAAATTATTTATCTAATGTTCAAAATTGAATAAAACTTAATCCTAAATTTTTCTGGAAGTTTATAAATGATAAAAAACCTAATCATAACCTTCCAAACCTAATGGCATATAATAATGAAGAGGCTGAAGGTGGACAACCAATTGTAAATATTTTGAAAAATATTTTTCTAGTGTATACCCAACCTTTACCTAATTCATCTTTAAAACCAAATCCTATTAATACAAGTAGTATATATATACCAATTCTGGCGCACCTCATAATATATCAGTAAAAGATCACAAAGAAAACAATGTGCAAAAAGATCAGAAAATTGAAATGCAATAATAATTAAAAACATTTTTCGCAAAACTTATGAAATACATTAATAATAAAAACATTTTTCGCAAAACTTATGAAATGCAATAATAATAAAAACATTTTTCGCAAAACTTATTAAATACAAAAACCCCCAAAATATTTTTCATAATACTTATGATATTAATAATTAAAATCGAAATGCAATAATAATTAAAATATTTTTTAATAGAATTGTTCTATTAAAAATAAAAATCGAAATGCAAAAAACTTATATATTTAAACGCGTGTCCAATTCGTACACACGTTAAATATCAAATATTTTTCTAATCTTTTTGATTTTGATTTCTAATCAGTGTATTGAGATGGTTTACAAAATCATTTCTATCTATATTTGTTTTATAATGTCCCCAAGCTAATGTATCAATACCATTTTCCAAAATAAATCTTTTATCATCATAAACACTTAAAGCTTTATTGTTTTGTTCTACAGTAAAAATATCATGTTTCTTAGTTCTAAATAAATTTTGTTTAACATATTTTGATTTTTTTGTTAGTAAACATTTTTCAAAATCATTAACACATATTTTATTTTCTACAACATTTTTTTTAACACCTTTAGCTTTTTTAATTTCTTTTTCAGTATCTAAGATTCGATGAGAATATAATTTAGATCTTAAAAGTATAAATTCAGACATTATTTTTCCATTTAACTCATCTTTAAACTTGCCTAAAACTTTTTTGTTAACTAAAGGTAAACCATAAATATTATCTTTTGGATAATCTGAAGTGTCAAAATGATCTAACATAATTTTAATATCTTGATAAAAATCATTAGTTTTTATTTATAATATTAGTGAATCTGTATCTGTATATAACAATCTAACTCTATTTCCATATTTTTTCTTTATAATATTATAATAAAAATCATACATTAACATTTTAGATAAATCTAAAATACACATTCCTACATATATTGGTTGTTTGAAAGATATTTGTGTT